GCAGGGAAGTCATTATATTAATAAAAACACAAGGCTTTGAGGAAAGTAAATCAGGTTTTCTTTTTTAAAAAATCCGAACACGTAAACGCGAAAATCAGCTCTGAATTGTAACATACAAAACCCAATAAAACAAAAATACTATTTAATTTTAAATGCTTTTAGTTGCTTTTATTTGTTTTTATCAATATGCATAATATTGTCTGAAGGCAAAAAACTTTTTTGATGAAAAATGAATTTTTAAATGAATTAATTGTTATTTAATAAATTATTTTATTATTTTTACATAAAGTTACTAAAAGTTGTTAAATATTCTAAAATTAGCGGTACTGGCGAATCCTGTATATAATGTTTTTTTAGGTACCTGTATCTGTACAGATTATAAATAGTACAAAGGTTTTTACAATCAACGAAAAAGCAATGAGAATAATCTTACTGTCCTTTAACCTATGTGTAGAAAAAAAAAATAATCTTAAATCAAATGTACGGAGGCCCGGAAGAAACATGATCCAATAAAAACATCACGTGACTTGATTTGTACGGCACTGTTAACGGCCTTTATATTTATATAAAATTACTTTAAAAAATTTATAATAATTTCCATCATTCCTGAAAGTTTTTTAAAATCTGACAATTATTTCTATTTTTGCAAGATTTTCAAAATTAATGTGTCATAAAAAAAATGAACAAAAATTTGCCATGTTATTTACTAAAGTTCCGGTGATGACGAGAAACGAGATTTTTCAATCAAAAGTTAAAACGTTCTAATAAAGACAGAAAATTATTTAAAAATAATGAAAAATTACTTTGTTCTCTCCCCTTAATAGTAACATAAACATTTTGGTAATAAAAATTCTGATTTCGTCAAGTTTAAGGCCGTTTTTTCATGGTATGACTACTTAAAAATAACGAGGTAAATAAGTTGTTAACGTAAAGATAAATTGTCACTTACGACCTTCCGTACTATAAATTTCCGCATCGTATATGTCAGTGCGTGATGAAAAACACGCACTTGTCATTTGTCAATCAACACCGCAGTTCAGATCGGCTTTCTCCCATTTGAAAAAAAAAAATGTTTTTCATCACAGAAAATAAGCAATCTTTGTTTCAAAATATACTAAATAAACTTTCTAATTTCTAATTTTTTTAAAATTAGTTAAAAAAAAATCATAATTGATTTTTTAAATAAATTTTAAACGGCAACATTCACTTTTGTAAACAAACATCAAAAACAACGGGAGATTATCGATCGTCTGTCGATTTTTCCGATTCAAAAAAAATTGAAGATTTTTAACGAAAATTTTGGACGTGCTAGAAATTATTAAAAAATTTTAAAAAATATTCAAAAAATACTTTGATCATTCCTCTTGATAATAACATTAACATTTATACGATAAAAAATTATTTTAATCAAATTTAAGGCCTTTTTTATTCATGGTATGCTATTTTTTTATCGATCTCATGCATAACGTGTGCGTAATGTATGTAGTGTACGCAGAGAGGCGACTTGTTGACAAAGTGAATACATTCTGACACATCCCCGGCATGTCTGAAGGTAGGCAGCCATTTATATCTTTTCTTAAGCATTATGGACAAAAGTAAGATTAATACGTGACTATGCAAAAATATGTGAATATTTACATTTTCTTCCGGATATATCAATTTATATACGTTTATATGTATGTGTAAATAGAGCACATAGATAGATAGATAGATAGATAGATAGATAGATAGATAGATAGATAGATAGATAGATTCAATGTCTATTTATATTGGAAATATTACAAAAAAGGTATGATAATTTTTGTTCAACATTAATATTATATAACCTTGATTGATGCAATATGCATTAACAGACAGGTAGCTCGTGTTCAGAGTTGTCTGTGTTTAAGAAATTAAAAAAAAACATTCACATCAATCGCGAAAAAACTCAATATATTTAATTAAAAATAAAACTAAATAAAACATCAATGGTAATGGCTAATAGGATAGCCTGATGCACTCGAAGATTAGGACAGTTTTTTTTCACAGTACAGAAAAGAAATCACACAAGACTAATTAAATAAAATATTTAAGGCAGTACCTTGTCTGTCATCTTTACTGAAACTTGCATATATATATATATAAAGAACAGTAAGATATATAATCCAGTGTTCTTATAGATATTTTTATTTTTACAAAATAGTGCTCAATGTAAATTTACAGAGCATTAATATTATAAATTAACTGATTTAAAATATGTTTTTTTCCGCTACACAATTCTAACCATGTTTCAAAAATGGAAGCTAAAAGCCCCGAATTTAATTTTGTAATTAAATTAAAGACATTAGTTCCATTTCCTCCTCAAGCGAATTTTGGAGTAACTTTTAAAATTACTGGGTTTTAAAGACACAGCTAAAATCATAATCGGGGCTTTTAAGCTTCCATTTTTGAAACATGGTTAGAACTGTGTAGCGGAAAAAATATATATATACATTTTAATGAAACTTCTATATATAATACACACACAAACACACACACACACACACACACACACATATATATATATATATATATATATATACAAGTTTCATTACTCACGCATACAAACATCTATGTGTGTATATAATTGAGTTAAATGTTCGTTTAAACTAAGCTTAAATAAAATAAGCAATTTGTGCCCATTATATTCTTAAATATTTTTCTCTAATTGACGGATTTAATTTCGTATTCGAGTATTGAAATTATGAAGGAACTCTCGTGTTCCTTTAGTAAGTTGTTCCAATTTTTGGCTGGCTTCAATCATTCGCTGGAATTCAATTACTCCGATGAATTTTTAAAACTGTATGTCTTAATTATTTTTAATTGTTGAATGTATTCCCTGTCACGTGATAGTGTTGTTAGTTTTCAATTTAAATGTCAATGATGACACGTGAATATGAAAAATTTTCCATTCATCCATCCATCCAACCACCCATTCATTAATTCATTCATCCATCCATCCATATATACATACATACATACATACATACGTATATTTTATTAAATCAATACTCTAAATAAATATATTAAATACATATACATTTTTTGAATTTTTAATATTTGTATACGAGTATGTGTATGTGAATGCATATATATATAGATAGATAGATAGATAGATAGATAGATAGATAGATAGATAGATAGATAGATAGATAGATGCGCGTTACTTTGTGAAAAGTGGTCAATATCTGTGATAGAGCTAAAACATATTTAGTTGAATAGTTAGTAGTTTGTAACACCGGGTTTCATGCTTTTGCGATCATCAGACAAACTGGTTTAATTTTTTCAAAATTTGTGTGCGGTGCAAAGGGGGGGATTAAACACAGAAGATAATCCTCCCCTCCACCATATACAAATAATAAAACACAAATAAGCATAAATAGATCCACTTTTGAAAAAATAAACCAGTTTTTCTGATGTTCACTTTCTAATTTAATTCATTTTTGTAATCTGTTCTGTTTCTTATTTTTAATACTAATTTTTTTTAATTTAATTTAATATATATATATATATATATATATATATATATATATATATATATATATATATATATATATGTATTTATGTATGTGTTTGCTTTTTGTATGTGTGTATGTATGTGTGTGTGTGTGCTTTTTTATGTGTGTGCTTTTGTATCTGTGTAACTAGAGACGTGACCTGTTGAACCAGGAATTTTTTCTGGGGAAATATGGAAACTTAAGGCTGTCTACTTTTTATTTAATTATTTAATATATATATATACAAATATATATATATATATAAATATATATATAAATGCAAACGCACACATACAATATACCTGGCCCTAAAACAGGGCCCTATAGCCTTGGTTGACAATAAATCTAGGAAAAACTCTGAATTCAAACCAACCTGGTGAGAGTTGGTCTCCATCACGCTGTGGTTACACTACACGTGGTGTCTCTCCGGCCCTAATGAGTTAAGGGACTGCGTATCCTTCTAAGTTTATTGTAACCTTTGCAATTCAAACAAGTACCTTAATGTGGATTCATTATCTATAGATAAAGGATTTTTTAAAAAATTATAAACTATCAAAATTTAAATAACAACGACTGGCCATAGGTTTGGTAGAGTGATGTAGATATATTATTGCTGGTGATATGCAATAACGCTTTTTTAAAATGAGTACTTGTAAAAGAATGCTAGTGCAGGTGTTCTCAACTGTAGGTGATCCCTCCCACCACCACCACCAAGCAGGGTTTGAGGAGGAGAGATCTTTTACTTTTTCTTTTTTTTTTTATTCACAGAATTTTGTTTATTGAATTACGATACCCTGGTATTCTATCGAAATCATTTAATTTATTGAAGTCTGCTTCAGTTTATTCATTTTATAATTAGTTATGAATTTAAACAAATTACTGCACATGTATTCAAGTTTAAAAAAACTATCAACATTTTTCATTGCTATTAAATCTGTAAAACTCTTCTATAAAAAATAATCCATGAAATATCTATGTACTAATATGGAAAAGAATGAATATTTTCAATAATATTAGGTTGGTGCAAAAATTAACGTCAAAAAACGACATTATTTTTGCACCAACCTAATATATGCATTATTATTTGGAATGCATCTTTTGTTTTTGATAATCTAGGAAAGGAGGGAATGACATTTTGACTGAAAATAAAAAAAAAAGGAGAATTTTGCATAAAAGGTTTGAATCACTTTTCTAGTGTAAATTAAAGCTCTTATGGTAAATATTAGTTAATTGATTCGTTTATTTGCAGGTTATTTACAACCAGAAAATATTTTTAGATTGTAAGAATATATATATTTGTTGAGATAATAATCACTTTACTGATACAAGACTTAATAATTAACACATCGCTTGGGAAGAAGAGGTGGCTTCATAATTTTCCCAAGGGCATATCCGCGTAAGTTTATATAACGAACCCAACAGGAATTGGAACTCGGTCCTCTGATTAACAATTCCGAGCTAATATCCATTATACCACCCACCCATCCTTGTATTCCGAAACGCTCACCCATCAAGGTATTGATCAGGCTCGATGTTGCTTAACTTCGTTGATCGTACGGGAACTGGTTTTTCA